ATAGGAAAGATGGGATCGCCTTAAAGGGATAGACTATGATCAGATTGGTGTGGTCTATTCAGCTGTTTTTTGGGTCACTTATTTGGCCTTCCATCTGTATATATCTTCTATTTTAGTGTTTTATTATGTTGGTCACTCATGGAAGTTCTAATTGGACAATTGGAGGCATATTTCAATCATTAGACTTTAATATTTAGTTCATACGCATATCACAGGACATCTATAGGTTGGTAGTGCCTTTTGTTTCTGCTCAACAGCTTACTTCAATTAGATCTAAATGATGGGGTAGATCAAATCATTGCTACATAAAACCTGATGGCTATAAATTCTTGCAAGTTGTATTCAACAGTGGCAATTGAGTTGTTTGAATTTAAGTTAAAGACTTCTTCTTGATCTAGATCTCTGGTTCTCCTTTGTATTGAACTAATTTTCTCATATCATAAGCACAGTGCATCACCGCAGTCTATAATCCAAAGATCACTTATGTAAGATTGCTTAGAAAAACCAATTCTCTTGTCACAAGTCAAATATTTGAACTCATAACATTCGCTCTCAAATGGAGACTTCAAAATCATCATCTACTCACATTGAACCAAAGATATTACAAATGCACAAACTTGAGTTCCATTGCCGTTCAATAGGTCAGAAGTTATACAACTCAAACTATCACATGAAACCAACAATTGAAAATTCATTGTCAACGAGCCACTCGACCTTTTTATTTATATCATCAAAGCCAACATTTTCAGACTGGTTGTGCTACACAATTTCCTAGCCACACAGATCATAATGGAAGCAAAAAGCAAGGAACCTTGTGTTTCATCACAGATCACTAATGATCCAAACCCAAAAATATACGTATTAAAAACTACATACACATATAAGAAATAGGCGAAAAACTATACCGTTGAAGCCCTTGTCGATCTGATGGCATCCAAGTCTGGCGCAACGATCGCCGCCTATAAACCGATCCAAACCCAGTGAAAATCCCAACAAAGCCCATCACCTTATACCTCTTCTGATCCCCATCCGAAACGCCACCGTTTTGATTTCCTCCTACACCAGCACCAGCACTACTTTTCTCCCAAACCACCGACACCGATCTGGGTTTATCGTATCTACATTTATACCCGGAAAGACTATGTCTAGAAATTGCGACGAACCCAAATACGAAGCCGGAGAGTCCGATCAGGAAACAGACAATCAGGACCGTGGATCTGTGACTGTACGACGAAGGCGGGCGTAGAAGAATTTAGGAGAAGAAGGCATGGCGAGATAGGATTGTTTTGGGCATCAAAAACCCTAGAAAATGCAATCTAGGGTTTTCTAGGACTCGTGATTAAGGTTTGAATGAAAGGGTCTGAGTGTGGCTATAGGACAATTCAAGCTTCTGTGGATATCATTCATAACAAATAGTGAACTCCCACACACACACACAGAAAGAAAGAAGCGACCAACTTTCAGAAAGAGATGTGACTCAGAGAACTGCGAAGCGATCAACTTTCAGAGAGATATCAAGCAGGTACGCAGAGAGAGAGAGAGAGAGAGAGAGGAGTTTCATAGTAGTTTCAGTTGAGCTTTCACTTTTGGTCGTTAACAGCAAAAATTCGGGCACGGCTGTTCTGCTGTTCCTGGATAACAGCAAATGGTGCTGTTAGCCCAAACGACGCCGCATCAACACAAGACAAAACAGGCGGTAAAGAAAATTTTTCACACGATTTAGCGTTGAGTTTTCTTATGGGTTAAAGAGATTTTAATGTTAAACTTTTGATTCACGAGATCCGTGATTCAAATATGTTTTAGACATGTTAGTTTGATATATTTGATATGATTAATTAAATAAATTAAAATTAATTATATTCATAAAATGAGATGATGAAATACATAGTACTCATTAATCCTACCATAGGGTAAGGATAAGGGTAAAGGACGGCTCTAAATACGTAAAAATTAAAAAAAAAGGGGGCTACGTACCAGCATCCTACCATAGGGTAAGGATAAGGTTAAAGGACGGCTCTAAATACTTAAAAATAAAAAAAAAAGGGGGCTACGTACCAGCTTTGTGATAGAAGCTTACATCAACTCCAAAGAGTATTTCAAATAATAATAAAACAAATTTTAAATTCAAATGTTATGAATTCGAATTTAAACAATTGTTTGAAACTAAATCATGAAAAAATTATTTTTTATAAATACTCAAATTTGACGTGAACGATATTTTTCGTAAATATTCAAGTCTCGACATGAATAAAATATGTGCATAAACTAATCCGTACTGACCATTGAATAAAATAAAAAATTCATAACTTTTAAGAGTGGTGTAGAACCACGTAGCTTGCTCAGCTTCAACGACTGCAATTTATATACTTGCCGGCGCAAGGCCCCACCCAAGCCATTCTGTTTACTTCCACGACCTCGTTAATTTTCACTTACCTTTTCTAGCCACAAAGTCTACTGAGAAATCATTACTTCAAAGCAAAAACCAAAATTCATTTTTTCTTAATGGATTTTTTTTTTTATTTTTCATTCTCTTGTACTCTTTCATCATACAAATTCAATGATTCTACATGACAAAGAACTTCAACTTGGTTTCCCACAGACTCTGAAGCTGGTTCTTTAAAGGACAGTTCTGAAAAATGTCCAAGCAAATTTTCATCCTGGTCTCCATCTACCTGCAAATTCTTGCACTCAGCAGGTCTAAACTCCATTTCCACATCAACTTCATGATCACAGGATGTATCGTCTAATTGTTGCATTGAATCGGGACCAACTTTGGAGAAAAACCCGACTTCTCCTCGTTCATTTGCTCCTGCAAGTCCAAGAATTTTTGCTTGAGTGCCAATAGAACATAGGTCCATAAAGAATGAGGAAGAAAGGCTCACCAGTTTGTTGAACTGCTGGTTGATTCTCACACAAACACTTCTTCAACCATATTGTTCCAGGAAATACCATCAGGTTGATGTTACTAAGGCTCTGTCTCTCATCATCTTCCAATGGCTGGAAGCCAAATCCAACAGTCCATGTATCCACAACATTGGGAATGGCAGATATCACGAGTTTCTCAATCTTCAAAAATTTTAGCATCTAGAACCACAATGGAATGAATATTAACTATACAAATTGACAATTCATAAATACCATTTAAAAATAAATTAGATAAAAAAAACTTGAAATCAAGCATATGAGATAAATTTGAAAATTTGAGTGCATGATTTGTTGATATAGACAATATACAAGGTACAACAAAGGAGCAGGTCACGTAAAGAAAATTTGAATTTCTTTGTCATGAGCAGATAACAATGTAGTTATTCAATTGAATAAGTTACCTCCTCAATAGAATTCAATAAGCGCCGACACATTCCCTGGCGACGATATTTACTGCATGTAGCAATAAGGGGCATCTCTGCAATTGTTACCCCATGAATCCTGCATGAAAACAATTCATTGTGTTAAAACCATATGGAAGAATGCATTATTCAGAGGAGGAAAGTTAGCAAAGATCAGATAGCACATAGAAACTACCAATAATAGAACGAAAAAAAATGGCAAATCATTACTGGAAACCTCTAGAGACTGTTCAAATGTTTGTGTGTGTGTGTGTGTGAAAGAGAGAGACAGAGAGAGAGAGCTGGTATTTGATGCTATAACTCAAGACATGATTTAAACAGATCAAAATGGCAAAGACAGAATTAAGGCACTAGAGTTCCATCAACGGAAAGGAGGTACTGAATAGGTGAAGAGCACCACCCCTAATAGTCTGGAAATTTCAAAGCATGCCTCTTCACTTTCGAGGACATATGGTGCTGAACTGATCTATAAATATGCTGCCTAGCAGCATTCAGGTCACCCAAAAGAAAAAATGTAAGGAATTAAACATTATCAACCTTCCATGAGTTCCGAATTTTGTACACTAATTTGGACAGATGTTTGAATTCGTCCATCACAGAGCAAATGAATGTTAATAGCATAGGCTAGCTCCACCAAAACCCATCTCAAGATGGAACCAGTAACCATGGCCAAAAATGGTGATATGCTGATGGTACATTTGGCATTGTCAGAAAAAATATGGGCAGAAGTGTAAATAGAAATTGGGAAACAGATATGGGAGGATTAATTGTGCAGATCACTCCGCTGACGACAGCCATAATGGTGGAAATAGGTGGTAGAAAAGTTCTGTTGCCAACAATGGTTCTGGCAATGAACTTTTTGTTCGATATGATTTTCGTTCACAAATAGAAAATTTGATGGCTAGTGTCACATTAATGGTTGAATTTCTAGCATGCCTTTAATTTGAATAATTGTGAAATTTTTTGTAGAATATACGTGTAGTGTTGTTAGTGTACTGGAAATGGAGGAGAGAACGTTCAAGGGGAAGGCTGAGAGCATAATCACTTGCTGGTTTATTGGGAAGAAGAATGTAGAGGTCCTGCTAACCAATTGTGGATGTGTTCTCTTACCTATCCATTTATGTGAAAGATCATTTTCTTGCTTACCATCTAGATTTGTGAACTAACACCCACTCCCAAACTGTAGTCGGTGTTGGTTTATCTACCTATAGTCCAATGTAAACAATTCAATCTAGTAAAGACTAGACATGGCCACAAAGACTATATATGTTAGCACATACACATGCACAACGATACCCTTGCCTGGACTTGATATATATATATATATATATAGAGAGAGAGAGAGAGGTTAATGGGGTCAAAACCCCTCACACGGAGGACTAAATATAAAAAAACAAACGCAGAAGGTTTAGGAAAAACTGCAGATCACATCTTGGAAAAAAAAACCATAGCAGTAACTTTGAAACATGGAACGATACGACAACCATGAGAAAGAAATAAGGTCACCATTGGATCTCAGAAAGAAGACAGAAAAAATAGATATCACAAGAAAAGTACCTGATTGATGCTACTGACATTAAGACATCATCTTTCTCCAAGACCACGGTGTAGAATCCATGATAATTTAGACGAGCAAACTGTGATCTGAAGAGGACCAAGAAGGATAGGTCAACAGTAATGTGTCACTACAATGGCATAACAATAAAGTAATGTAAAAGAAGGTTTAGGGAAAGAGATACAGAAAAAGGATTAAACTAAACAGGCTATCAATACATTCAGAATGGCAACAACAATTGAGATCTAAAAGAGCAGGACAGACGGTTCCAAGGATCAATCATTTCCTTAGCCCATGCCATTATGACGATGATTATATTACATTAGTTTGAGTACAGCCCATTGATCCTAAATTGTAGGTGTACTATAAAGTGTACTTCAAATAAAGAACCAACAGAACTACGAAAATTTCAATGATGAAGATAGTAAACCTACGAATCCTACAGAAATCCTCCCACATGGAGATATAAAGAGCTATTTGTAGTCAAAGTTCCTTTATTACAGCTTCACCCCAAGCATTGTATGCTTGCTTTCTGCAAATGCTTTTTTGTAGAGAATATAATGATTTTGTTCCATTGTTATCGTATTTCTGACAAGTGTAAGATCAACAAATATCCAATTATCGCACTGATACCTAAAAAACCATCAACTTGTTCACTAATTAGATGGAAAACACAAAGATTTCAGGAGTTTCATCAAAGTGGAAAAAAAACACACACACAACTGGAAAAGTCAAAGTATGAACCCAAAACTGAAACTAAAAAGTTCCACCTCAATTACTTACATTCCCACCATAATCCTCTCATATCAATTCCCCGTAGGTTTGATATTGAAAGCGATGCAATTGTATATGCTTGTTGTCTTTTCAATGGTGAGTTATTTTACTTCTTGTAAACTTGTTCATGGAAGTGCATCAGCTTATGAAGATGTAATCTCGTCATTTGATATTTATGAACAAAATTCATAGGCATCCTTCATTTGTTTTAAAATTTCAGCAGTCTCTATTTATAAATGCCAAACGTTGAGCTAAATTTAGAATAAACATGCATAGATTCTGAGACCAAATTCTAAATCAGGTCACTGTGCACTGGAAGAAAGTATTCACCTTAGGGAAAATGCTTTGTTCAATGGAAATAATATTAAGAAACATTCTCTATAAAGCACCACGAGAAATGGAGGAATCCATCGAACAATGCCAACATGGATCAGAATTATTCGCATAAACACAAGACCGATACACACACACACACAGAGTTAAGGCAGCTAAGGAAAAAAAAAATTGGAAAACAAAAGACTCAAACAGAGAAAGTACTCACCCCCAGTTGTATAATACATGGGGAATCATGTCTATGCCTGTTCTGGGATCCACCATGGGAAGAAAGCAGTCCTCCATAATTGTAAGAGCAACAGCTAATTTTGAGTTGCATTCTGCTTTCAAAGCAACAAAACGCTGTCCAGAATGAACTTTTTGGTCACCATGAATGCACCTCAGAACAGTCCAAGAAAACCCATCACAAATCATATTCATGAACCCAATGCGAGAATGGAGGCCAGAGTAAACCTGCATACACCAGTAAAACAAGTCCTTTGGCAAACCATAAAGAAAGAAGACCAATATTCAAATGAAAAGGAAGCATAGTTAGTATCCTTTAGACAACTGGACACTTGGTACAGCGCCACAGAAATCTACTGGTGACAAGTTTTTCTTCCTTTCTCTCACATACAGTTACGTGTTAGATGCTAGTCAGACAGCAAAAAAGATACCACGCATCAGAGCAATATGTTGCAGGAGACTCCACATAAATTCTACTTAGCAGTAGTAACTTCATTTAGCAGTTAGCAGCCAGCCAACGCGGCAATCTGACCCACAACCATGTTGGTTCTAACAAATTTTGATGCAGTTATAGCTAAGAGTCTAATTCGAATTCTACATCTTGTCGGAGAACTATGCCAAGATCTTCACATCTACTTCATATTAGTCCAATTTCCGATCTGTCCATGTGAGAAGGAATGGTCTCCTACTCTCGCAACCGCATTTTCTCTACACTTATAGGGTGCAGTAAGACGAGGCTAGCAGTTCTTAGCATCCCAAAAGACAAAAGTTGTATGCGTATAAGACAAACTGAACACAAAAAACAGCCACTCCCACTGATTTTTCTCATGACACAGAATGACATGTCCAACTGATATTGCCATGATAGTTTGAGGAAGACATGAGCATGATTAATTAGGAATCATCTAAGGGCAAACAACTGAAAGACTACATACTGCTCCAAAAGCTTAACTGTTAACGAAGGGGCCAAAACAATATATGTCAAGCTCTCAGGAATATTAAATCGATTATAGCACAGCCTCAAAACTGTTGAGACCATGACAACAAAAAAAGTGTACATGTATCTACTGGTGGACCTCATCCATAAAATTGATTCTACACTTCTCCTTTCTAGGAGTTTCAAATTCACTCAATTGAGTAAACAACAATGCCTCACAACACCAAATGGCTTAGTCTAACGTCTCCTTAAAACTGCACAGTTTTCCAAAGACTGCCCTGGGGACTTCAGGATAGTTGGCAAGACACAAATATACCTAGGATCGGAAAGAAAATGGGATAAATCATCCTGCAGTCCATGTTTACATTTGAGACCTACACATCAAGTTTTTTCTATTAATAATCTCCGAAGTTGTTAAAAAATAAAGTCATAGTTTACCTCCTGGCAGCTTTCACCACAAAACCGGTTATCAGAAGCCACTCTGTTCAAAACCCTACTTTGCAGGCAGTCCTCATGATCTGTGTACAGGCATCGCAACAATCAGGAGACAGAATTTTATTCTCGGAAAAGCATCATAAGCACATATACTGTAAGAGTTCAAAATACACTTAAACGCCCTTTGTTCCCAGGACTTTAATGAACAGAAAATGAGAGAAACAGTGGACAATGGAGGCTGTCAGTAAGAGGTTCTTTTCTTTATTGCAAAGCGAAATGTCAAAACAAGGGAAAGGAAAGAAAAAGGAAAGAAACCTCAATTTATTGGTAAACAGTAAACTCACAATGTGTACTGTTATTACCAATTCGAAAGCGAATTGGTGACATGCAGTAAGCAAAAACATATTCAGGGTAACGAAAAAACATTATTGTACTTCTATGTTCTGGAACACAAGTAGAAAGGATAACATTGTGATCCTTGAATAATGCACATACATTCTGAGGGAAATAGATATTTTAATTAGCATTTTGCAGACAAACAAGGGCCCACAAAGACAATCACCAGCCATCAAGACATTTAATCCAAGATGAGAATCAACAATGAGTTGAGCAGAAAATATTACATTTGTGCTCGCACTGCCAACATTTTAATGCACCAGGGCTTTCCTCACTATCATTTACTACAGCCCCACAAATCCAGCAAGAACAGTGCGCACAATACCAACTGCCTTCAGGTAGTTCCTGAAAAAAAAAAAAAAAAAACCAACTTAGTTCAATTAATCAGCACAGCAAAAAAAGAAATAATCAGCACAACCACCACAGCAAAACGAATTCCAAACACAGAAGATTGGTTGAAAGCATCAATTGCATGTCTCGGTTCATGCAGTTAAAATCCACTAGAATCTTTTAATGGACAAACACATTAAATATGCCGGAAAAAAAATTTCCTCAGAAAAGTAAACAGTAACCAGTAGATTCTGTTGGTTCAAATAGAAGGTAAATCTTGTTCTTCTTTAGAAATGAACAATATAGAATTTCTTTAGAACTTATTAATACAAAGAGTTGCTGGTGTTATAATTTTCCTATCATGTACACATAACACCCAGTTGAATAGCATACATCTTTGTAAAAACATAGAATACATTTACTTCAAGGATAATGAGAAAACTCTCATCAATGCTCAAAAGAATGGGAAGGAAGACTAATGCTATGCTTCCCAAATATGTGTACCAAATCTTCCATATCAAATGAGGTGTCGCAATCTTGACCATTAAATACTTATGGGACCCAATTAACTTATGGTGAACAATGTGCCACCTCATTTGGTAAGGATAATGTGGTACAAAACTTGGTAAGCCAAGCATTGCTCAAGAAAGAAATATCCAACGAATCTGAAGCATTAAACAAGTTACACTGTGAAAAGAAATTAACATGCTTGTTTCAAATATCAGTGGGCAATAACTATTAAATCCATACTTCCACCAGCTAAGAATCGGATTGGACATCACACTTCTTGCAAGAGGAACCAGGGTTCTTAGTTTAGTTGGTTTGCACTTGTATGGCATAACTAACTATTTTCTATATTCCCATTTCTTAACAATGCCAAATTTGTTAAAACTTTCCAAATTTTCCTAAGTGCAACAGATTTTCAACACTCCACACCACAATTTTCTAACAGTCTCTTGCTGCCCTTGCATTGCCCTATCCTTCCAGTACGGGATTCACAATTTCTTATATACAAACCACAAGTTAACATCTCTCATAAGGTAGTAGACCTTGTGTTCATGCCAACAGTTTCTAAGATAATAACTCCTGGCCTCACTGAGCTTTAACAGGCTTTTGAGTATATGATATGGAGTTGCTAGGGGTGGATGCATAGGACCCTGGATGAACACATAGGTGATGGAAGCTGCCTCAGAACACCTGCATAACCCTTAGCTAAAAGGCACTGTGTAAACAGTTGCACAAATTTTCACGCACCCACCTGGACCACTGGAGTGCCTGGCATCCACCTATGAGTAACTAATTATTTTTGGCGGTTGTCAAACAACCGCAAGTAGAGTATGCGACAGCATATGGCAAATAAGAAACTACATAGGAATCAAATAAAAGATACAAATGAAGTATTTGCATAACAAAGGTAATAATTTTTAGCACATTAAGTGGCCATAATAGCTAGAAAGATGTAAGAAAATAATGAAACAAACTTGCATAAAAACAAAAAAAAAGAAAGGGACTAAAAAGGGAAAATGGCATAAGATCAATAAAGGAAGAAAAAGAAAACCTGTGAGTTCAAGCATGCCTGGTGAAAAGTAGATGGACAGTTATCACAGCATATCAACTCACCCCCATCACCACACAGGCCACAACTATCATCATTTTGATCTGTCTCATCACCTTGTACAGTTTGAGTGACACTTTTCCTGGCCTTGTATTCAGCTGACCAAGCCTCAAGCTGGCACAAGGTGAAGGGCTTACCCGACTCTAAGAAAAGATTCAAACAGGAATGATTTAGCCTGAAACCAGAATGAATCTTGAATTCAGAAACCGAAAACACCTCACCACAACACCTACATAAAATCCCATCCCAAGTAATTAAGCCATCCTTAACCACAGCGTCATCCTTTGGATTCCGGAACTGAATCACTTCGTTGAGAGAAACAACCCCAGAATGAATCAACCAAGACAATACTGTCCGTGCAGTGAAAGCCGACCACTTCCCATCCATGAAATGTTTTCCACCCTTAATCAGGTTCCGTGGAAGTAATCTGCAACTGCCCTTTTGGCTCTTGTGCTTTCTGAGAGATTTTGATTTGCAGGACATTCGTTTCTGACTAGACTGCTTAGTAGTGGATCTGAAGTTTTTAGGTTTTATGACAGCTGAAATCAACAGATCATCATCATTAAGAGTGCATGTCATTACTCTCTTTGGTCTGTTTTCATCATGGGTTTCAAGTTTTGTTGACTTTACATTATGCCGCCAAGTTTGAGAATCCAGAGACAGGCTCTTTAGACACACAGGGGCTTCATCAATACTATTCTCAAAGATGGGCTCCTTCAGATGCTTCCTGGCATAAGTAACCTGAACCAACTTCTTAGAACTATTAGAACATTGAAACTTCTTAGTTTTAAACTGTTTTTTGTCATTCCAGCACTGAACTGAGCCAAGAGGTGACTTTTTCCTACTTTTATCATTTCTTAAATAAGCTACTAAACACTCCTGGACACTTCTTGAATCTAAATTTCCACTAGTAATATCTACATCAACCCCTCCACCCTTACAAGATGCAGACACACCAATCCTGTCATGTTTATATGATGTGGGAAGTTTAATTTCATTTATCTTCTTTGATTTCGTCTGTGCACTCTTTTTCAAGATAACAGCCTCTACAAAAGATGCATCATTCTTCTTGAAATTTACAGCTTTACCGCACTTACGTTGCAGGCTGTCCATATCCTCTGGTGTAACCAAATTGCTATCTTCAGCAACAGATGGTCCGCACAGCTCAGAAGCGCTTACAGTACTACGCAATTGCACATAAGTTCTATTGTCATTAGATTCTGTCCAATCATCAGGAATGTGATAAGAACGGTCATGCACATATCCTTCCAACAGATTCCCCACCTCGTAGGTGGGTTTTCTCTCAAAAAACCCACCTACTTCCTCAGAAGAACCCATGGACACATCTTTGACGACTATGAAAGGCATTTTCCCATTATGATCTGATCTGTCTATATCACAGCTTGGGGAACTTTTGTTGCTATCTTGATGAGGGGAAACCGTTTCAGACCCTCCAAGCATGAAATTTTCATTTCCAGAACTGACAGGAACCTCAAAAAGGCAATGACCAGACTGGTCGCAAGTGCTATCTGACCCGCTAGCTGGCAAAGAACTTAGATCCACATTTTTTAAAGCCAAAACATCTCCATGTTTCGCAGATGAATTAATAACAAAACCTCTCCTTGCTTTAACTCCTTTTCCTGCTCTCAATACGCCAAGGGTCTTGTCAATAAACACAACAAGTGCAAAGGGATCTAGAAGACACCACCGGTGAGCCAAGGTAGTTGTCGTTTCTACATTGTCCAATTGTCCCTCAATCTCTTGAATTGTGTTAGATAGATCGGACCAGAACTGACTCAAATCAAGCCACTGCTTACTATCAGTTTCCTGTACAACACTATCTGCGTCATCAAATAAAGTCTGACCACACACTTCCCAAGCTCTGTGAAATTCACGAATTGGCCTTCCTGGAGGTGACTTATAAACATATTCCCCAAGCCCATGAAACTTATTGGATCTTCTGCGCCTCCCGATCTCCCATCCTGCTTCTATAAGTAAGTGATTGATGTGGTAGCGGAGAAAGGAACGGGGATCTTTCAAGGAATCTCTAGGCAATAACATTTCATTTAAAGGCAATTTCACAAAGCAGCTTTCCTTCCATCTTGGCTTGGAATACTTGAGAGATCCAGATTTACTTGCAACAGTGATAATTGGATTGGCAACCAAAAGCTTGTTTGCATGGCTCTCCTGAGAAACAGGTGAAGCAATTGGTTTGTTTGCGACAACTTCCCTCTTGTCGCTTCCATTTAAGCTAGATAATCTATGGTTGGAAACATCCCTGTCACCCACATCACCTCTGTTGTCTGTTTCAACATGTCGCTTTAGCAGATAGCAACTAGATGTAACACCCTGGCTAGATGACTCAACTAAACGACATGTTATAGTGTCACAAAGAGAATATGCAGCAGGCTGTGACACACCAGAAACAGTTCCTTTCAAGGAAGCCGATGGATTTAAAACCTTTCCTAAACAAGGTTTGACATTAGAAAGCTCATCAACTGATAACTTCATTCGTTTAACATTCACACTGGGGTCATTCTTCATTGACAAAGCAAATCCTTCCGAGAAAGACCCTGGTACAGCATACGCCCTACAACCCTCCTTCAATTTACAAGAATCTTGCTCATTTGTTATGACTGAGTTCTCACCAGTTAAACATGGAGGCGCATATGTGTGCGGACTATAGTCGCATTCAAAATTAATAGCTCCAGTAACAAGACATCTATTACTAGTTTGACAACTGTCATTTCCAAAGAACACCTCTCTAAAAATGTAGTGCTCGTCTATTGACCCTTCAAAACCATCATCATGCAGACCCTCAAATTCTTTGCTGAATAACATCTTTACCGATTTATTACTGTCTCGCTTCATCTACAGCCTCTTTATTGATTCGCTCTATTCAATGTACACCTGCATGTAAAGTAAAACCATATGCTTCATCATAGCATTGAAAGATGTTTGACCCTTACCCAATTATGGTAAAATGGAGTCTCTATTTATACGTCTATGCATTGAAAGTAAAACCATATGCTTCATCATAGCAGCACTCCAATCACAGTTACTCAAAGAAAGGCCAACACGTCTGGAACAACACAACACAAAATATAATATAATACAACCAGAAAAGAATAGATATCTCTCTCCCAGACATGCATTAATTCTGTGACTCTCCAGAAACGAATATATGCCCATCCCTACATACAATTCTAGACCTTTCTTGCAAATTGACCAGAACTTCTCCACTTGAAGAAGTAAAGAGGGAAACACATTGTTTCGAAGTCCCAAGCAAATGCATGGGTTAGAGAGAGAGAGAGAAAGAGAAAGAGATAATATATATATATGTGTGCATTCAGTCTGAGCAGAAACCACAACAAATAAAAAGGAAAAGCAACATCCCACTAGAAATCCATCAAGACCCACCTACAAAAATCCCAGCAATTACAAAATTCATCCAATCAAAGGTTCAAAAAATCAAAAAATTCCCACGTTTCACAGATCAAAACCCAGAAAATAACCCAAAGATCACAGCTTGAGATCTAACAATCGAGTCTTACAACCACATTCAAAGAATTCACATACAAAAAGTTCACGAAAATCCCACCTTTTTCACGGCATTTCTCGCATACAATTAGGGTTCGAATCTGAACTACGGTTCTAGAGCTTGGTGGGTTTGCCTCAATCAAGTGAGAATCTGAAAATAACACCGAAAAAGAGGCCCCATTTGGCTTCATCGCACCATCACACCTCACGAGTATAGAAACAAAAGCGAGAGGAGGGCTTCGGCTTTGGAAAAGTTACCCGAATAATGGTCCAAAGTACAACAACGGATGTAAAAACATGACTAATCACAACGTCACTTTCTCTCTCTACACACCGAGCTTCTCTTAATGTTTCTCTCTCTACCTCCATGTGAGTAAACGAGGGATTACATATCCACAGTCCGCTATAACTTTTTATCTGTTTGTTTTTTTCTCCCATTCCCTTTTTCCACAACCCATCTCACATTTGCGGTTTATAGTACTAAAACTACGATGGCAGCCTATGGACCCTTCTAACGTTGGTGTTTTCTTTTTTGAATTTTTTTTTGCCACCTTTGCTGCTTTTAATTTCTTTTTCTGGTTTTATGGGGAGGGAAAGGGGTAAATTTTCAACCCATAATTGTATAAAGGCGACAGTAAACTCATAATACTGTTAGACTATTTCGTCAGTTCTATGAGTTGGGATTTAATCTAGATTTTCACCTTTTCTTGATTAGGCAGCACTTAATCTTAATATAGGCTTAGGGTAGCAGAGTTGCTATTTTTAGTCGACACACGACAACTATAATAATTTTTAAATTTTATTTTTGATTAATAAGCAATGACAATGACAGTCGTTAAAATAATAATTTTAATTTAAACCTATCGTAAGATTATCAAGTTTTATTAAATCGTTAATCCCAACTTGTCTTTTTGAAAAAAAAAAAAAATTTGTCACTCCTACTACTTTAAAAAAAAATCATGCTTTATGGGGAGGAGAGGAGAGGGGAGGGGAGGGGAAGGGTAAGTTTTCAACCCACAATTACATATAAGTGAGAATAAACTTGTACTACTAAACTATTTCGTCAATTCTGTAAATTTTAAATAAGCATGAGTCGGGGGTTGATCTTTGCTTGTGTTTATTAGATATACTATTTTTAGATTTTCACCCTTTCTTAATTGTGCAGCACATAATCTTAATATTTTTTAAGCTTGGTTTCGTAGGATAGCATTGGAGATCATATAGAAGTTGTGGTACTCTTTCCAGTGTACTCCTTTGTTATTTATGGGTTTTCTCCAATCCATGGAGAAAGAGAGAGAGAGAGTAACAAATTTTACTAGAAATTTAGGATTAGGATAGCATAGTTTCTATTTTTTTAACCAATACACGATACTAAATTTTAATTTTGATTTACTAACAATGACATTGACAACTTTTAAAACAATAATTTTTAGCTTAAAACTATCATAGAATTATCGGGTTTTATTAAATCATTATTCCAGAGTTAGTTCATAATCTTAACATAGTAGTATTCGTTGACTAATAAAGGGGGAAGGGGGGGGGGGGGGGGGGGGTTGGAGATATATATGGCAACATGGCACTAGAATATCTTATACATGGTGGGAGAGAGAGATATAGAGTTGAGGAAATGAATACGGGCTGTACCTCATCGGACAGAGTTACTTGTAGAGGTAACTAAGCAAAGAATTTTGTCATATACATACCATGTTGTATTTGATGTCGTGTTCTAATCAGCACATATTGCTCATGAACTCGAATTTCATTGTCTTGAACTCGTTTATCTTCCATTTTAAATCTACCACACATAGACAAAGATCTACATAATCTATATATTTCTTATCAACAATTAGAGTTACTTTGTAATAAATTTGTAATACTATCAGTTATTAAAAAAAAAGTTCAAATAATATTTCTATACAATACCAATTAAATGAATTCATCATGGCCAGGGTCGGCCATAAGCCTAGGCCACTTAGTTGGTCGTCTAGAGCCCCTAATTTTTGTAAAATTTTTAGAGTCCCCGATTAAGAATTTTAGATATGGGCATATATATTTTGAATATGGTGGTTTGAAATTTGAGAGGAGCCAAATTTTATTGATAAGTTCATTAACTCTTCAATAACTTACCTAGAAAATTACTCCCAGCTATATTAAACTATTAGACTTCTACAAAGAAAAGATAATGTCTCACTCTCTCTCTCTCTCTCCGGTTAGATTGTTAGACTTCTACATTAACGCCAAACTTTTATTTTTTTTGTTAAGGATTTAACGCCACTCCCTCTCTCTCTCTCTCTCTCTCTTTGCGTGAAAAGTTTGAATCTGAAAAAAGAATACCAAATTCCAATTCGCTCATGTGCATTTTGCTATATTATCTAAAAGATTGCTCGAAGGCTGTTGCTACAACAAAAGTTCTGCATTTTGCTTTTGCTCAAATGTTGTTGCTACAAAAGGATCAATCCTTGCTGCCAACAGTACCGAAGAACGGAAGAAGGTAGTGATTTTTAGGATAAGGAGCTGAGTGCCAACAGTACCAGACTGTGTTGTTCTTGAACTTTTATTTTAGTTTAATTTAATTTTTATAAATTTTGTGTTATAATTTTTCATTATAGTACTGCAAGTTATATAATTAGTATGTCTACTCGAAAATATGATTATGGATGCGAAAAACATAAAAAGAAAAGAAAACAAAATGAATTTATTGAATCTCAAAAATGAACACTCGATAAATTTGTTATTAGTGATAAACCAACTGCAACAAAAAATTCAAATGATGATTCAACGATTGAACTATTAGATAATATAGCAAAATCAAATGAATGCAAAAAAGATTTAAAACAAAATGAAATTGGTAAAGAATGTGAAGTTGTTAGTGAAGTAGAAAAAGATAAATAATGTAAACATGTCGGTGAACTATTAGATTATGTTCCAATAAATATCTATGATTCAGGACAATGGAAAAATATTGATACAAAATTAAGAGACTTATTAGTTGAAAGAGGTCCTATCAGATAAAATGATTTAGATTTTCCTAATGATGAAAATAATAGACATTTTTCTATTATATATTACACTCGAAAATTGTCAAACGGAGAAAAGCATGATAAAAAATGGTTAATATATTCAAAAGATTTAGATAGAGTATATTGTTTTTGTTGTAAGTTATTCAATTTAAAACCTAGCACAAGTTAATTAGTTAACGAAGGAACTAAAGATTGAAAAAATCTTAGTTATAAGCTCAAAACTCATGAAACAACTAAGGAGCATATCACTAACATGAATTAACTGTATTAAGAAAAGTTATATAATCTAAAATTAATACTCCAGCTGAAACCCTAACTTATATAAAACGATTAGATTGTTTTCCAAATGCATGTATAGCTTTTAGAATATTGTTAACAATACTAGTAACAGTTGTTTCAGCGGAGAGAAGTTTTTCGAAACTTAAATTAATAAAATCTTATCTTCGATCAACTATGTCACAAGAGAGATTAAATGGATTAGTTATATTATCTATTGAAAAAGATATATTAACAAAACTTGAATATAAAAATTTAATCAATATTTTTGCATCTCAAAAAACTAGAAAACTATATTTTAAATGAATGTGCGGGCAGAATCTTGCACAATATAAACATGAAAACAGATCTCTCTCGTGGTGAACACGAGTCAGTCAATCGAATGGTCAACCTTGCTGCTTGGAACAGACTGTGAGGACCGGTGGTAGCTTGGAACGATAATGGATGACTTTTGTAGGTCGTCGGAGCGGTCCAGTAAGGCTGAGGGAGGCTCCTGAAACAGAGAAAAACGAGTTAGCAGGGCGCCGGAGTGTTTTCCGGCGTATCCCCTCCGACGATCAAGTCAGTTCCTTGAGAGAGGGGAAGAAAAAACACTATGTATAGGTTTGAGAAAAGGTTTTTGCCTTTTTCTTTATCTTGCCTTTTATGAGGAGTATTTATACCTCAAAAATTCATGATTGTTGTCGGTATGGTTAGTAGATGATCATTAAATACGGGCAATGTGCACACTGATTCCTATGAGGAATGTCTTCTCTCTTAACTACTCGGGACCCTGAGCAACTAATGCTTCGTCATCGGCCTGCCGAGTGTTTAATGAGCTTCTCTTGGCAAGGATGTAATAAATGCCCAGTCATAGGGACATTTATTACCTTTCACTTACGAGCCTTCCTGCATTAAATAATGTCTCATCAAGGGAATAGTGCACTAAATGTTTGTTTTCCCAAGTCGTGTGTCAGCAAGGGCATCTCAGTCTTTTTGTCTCTGATCTGATACAATATGTCATGCGCCTATTCCCCATTGGCTGTGTCTTCTACCTTCTTGTACCTTCTGACACCAATTGTGTAAGACGAGGTCATGATGGCTAACCTAACCTAGCCTAGGCTAGTGACCTGTACATCAATAGCCTCACCAGGAGCAGAAAACGCCAACTTGGACGGGTACATCTCGGTATCGAGGGAGTGGTACATGTAGGGACCGATGTACCCCATATTCGACCGAGGGATACGTGTCGGTACGTAAGGTACTTGGTGTCGTTGCTCCCTATGAACAGTACCTCGGGGGAAGAGGGACTTATGAACCAACGAGTACGTGTCGTGGTCACAGTAACAAAAATATATTGATGTCGAGGACACGTGTCTTCATCTTGGAGTATTTGGAAATGTCCCATCAACTGCCCCCCAGCCTTCGATCTCCTGACACCGAGGACACGCGTCGTAAGGAGACGAAGGGTTCTGCAACTACCCCAACTACTTCATCATTGCCTATAGCCTCTTTCCCCTGCTTAGGAGGTCGTGCACATTAAATGCGTCTCTTCGTGCTTCATGCCCAAATGATGGGGATGGGTACTATATAAATGGGCTTCCTCTCTCTCTTTCTCATTTTGCCATTTCGAACTTCTTCAGAGAGCCCTTACCTGAAACCTCGCCAGAGATCCATTTCCTTTCGTTGTCTACTGCCCAATCTTTCACCGGAGTTTCAAGGCCAGCAAACCCATCTTGCTTCTGAACATCTTAAGGGAAGGAATCACTTCAAGTTTTCAAGAAAAACTTTCGTTTACGTTCTGGTGAGTCCTTGTATCTTCCCTCTCTTCGCCCTTCTGTCTCTTATTTTCTTCTTCTCGCTGTTTTTATGTTCTTTTGATTTTCTGATAATCGGAGGTGTTTCTGGTTGCCATTCTGTGACCAACCCTCGGGAATCCTACTTGGAGATCTTCGTGGGAAAAACCCCTCCTTCTTCTTCACTTTTCATCATTTTTGGAGATGCCCCGACGTCACCCTGCCCCTGAGAATCCTCAGGCTAGTTCCTCGAGGCCAGGAAGTACAAAGTGAAGGGGGGCGAGCAGATTAATAGGTTTAGGGTCCAGTATCGCATCCCCCCATATGTAGACATAGAGGATTAT